TACAGTATCTGGAGTCTGACCTGTAGTCTGATGCACATTGTGTGACTGATCATGCTTATTTTTATTACAAGATTGACCATTAAATACAGCATATTGCTATTTAAATAAAACAACTTTTTTCAATTTTTATCTCCCCTAACACTGAGTTTTTGTCCACCTATGGGAAGCTTTTGTAGCAAGTATGAAAAAGTCTTTCGCTACACTCTGGCGGCAAAATTAAAAGAGGCTAAGAAAAGAAGGCTATCAATTGAAAAAGGAAGTGAAAGATGCAGCTTCCTTTATCGGGGTCTGCAAGAGGGGGTTTGGATCATGAATCACGTGTTAAATTTCTGTAAATTCATGAATCATGTTACCTTTTGGAGTGACGAACTGATCAAGTCCACCAACGATTCTTAGTGGTTTCTGGACTACTATACTAGGCAAGAGTTAGTCTTAAATGACCCCGTGATGGGAAGGAAACCAAGAGTATGGTACAAATCAAACTGGCGATTCTCTGCTTTTGTTTGACCGCTACAAATTTGACTGGCAATGAATTTTATTGCTATAAAATCGAAGCTCTACAATTTTGGTGTCTTATGTGCTAAGCACATAGACACTATGTGAGAGAGTAGAAAAGTTATTGAAGTACTTTATGTAATCTCAATTTATGACATAAGAACAATAATAATCCTGTAAGCTATACACTACTTTATTACATGTACTTGAAAACAGAAAAGAGGGCATTCCAACAAGGGCAACAGAGCACCGACTAAACTAACTCTTTCCATTCATGACCACATTTTTCAATGATATAAATTCGCACTAGACACATGTACGCCGTGGGGACCTATTTTTCACTTTCACATGGTTTCGTTTAACTTCGAACCCTTGTCACAACACTTACATCTGTTTTATCGGTAGAAATCTCGATTCACGGAACTACAATGTGAGAGAATTCACGCGTCACAGTAAATGTATAATTCACAAATCACGACTGTATTTCATGAGTTTTCCCGATTCACACTCTCTTTACCGGTCAATTCACACGTATCACGCGAGCCCATTCTAGACCCTGCTTTATCGCGTCGGAGCATGACATCCTTTGCATTACGCGTCAGGTGGAAAGTTAAACCTTACTTCTTCACGTGAAATATAAAAAAAGCTTTACGGTTTTTGCACAGAGAAATCTGGTCAAGTTCACCGTCTTGCAATATCAAGCCATTAAATTTCCCCTCAAAAGCGGATTTTCGTGATTTTCCGTTCAGTTCCATTCCATTGTGTCCACAAACAATGAAAATTATGACAAAGATATTGGTTAGCCTTACCAGTAAAATGCCACGTTATCTCCCAGACCTTTTTCCACATTTCTGTCCAGCATATTGTAAGAAATGTTGGTAACAGCTCCTTCCATCCATTTAATAGACACCTTTCCCTTTTGTGTGTCAAAATTGAAGTCCATGAATTTCTCTTGGTTTGGCGGGATTTTCCAGTAGAACTCGTTAGCAATGTCTCCCCAGAAACTTGCGGGATCGTCGATGGATTTTTGGTACGTTTCCTTGTATTGATCCATACTAGACACATATGCCTCTGATTTGAGCTTGTCGGGTGGATAAAACCACCCTACAAGCTCCTTTTCATGCTCATTAACCGAGTCGTTCGCAGATGCCATGTTGTTTGCTTCAGCTGTGCATGTGAAAGGCGCGCGACGCTAAAAGAAGTGGCTGGGTGGAGGGGAAGTAAACTATACTACCTGGGGTAGGGTAAGGACAAGCCAAGTCCATCGTCATGGCAACAAAAGTAAGATAAAATCTGAAAAAAGAAACTCATGTTTCTATGAGCTACGTTTGACATTTTTAATTTATCTTATAAATAATTATTTCTTAGTTATTCTGGCATATAAACTAGGCACGAACCGTGGATTCAATATTTTTAAATACTCAACTGTCCGGTACTTGAGACATCTTCATACAGATAAACAGCAAATTCATTAAAACGCTTTAATTTATTCATCTCGAATTTCGACGAAGTGAAAACGGCTCAAAGCAGGTTAGGATTAGACAATTTAGACCAACTGACTGGCAGTCCTAGTCCTCTGAGGAGCGGATGAATACAATTATGATGATCATATAATTATGAGGTTTGCCTTTTTTTTCTACAAAAAATAGAAAGTCTCGTCATGTATTCGAAATAAAAAGTGTTTTTTTTTTAAAGAAGAAAGAAAAGGGGAAAAAAATATTTCAGAGGGGGCACTCGGAGTTGAACCAAGGACCTCTCGATCTGCAGTCGAATGCTCTACCACTGAGCTATACCCCCGCTGCTTGCTAAAGTGGGCAAAAGTTAAGTACTTATACCACAAGACTTAGTCTAGTTCCAGTTTTCCGTGGTCTGTGAACTTTCGTCACGTGATCTCTCTTTCTCTCTGTAGGAAAGAGTCACGCAATCATCCTATCATGTAAACTGCTGCAGCCTTTTGAAAACATGGAGCCGGTATGTAATGACATTTCTCTAAAATAGTACATTAAGTAAGCTGAATAAGTAGAGTAAAAACCGTGGTGGCCGTGGATGTTTCAAGAATGTTGTTAATTTTGTCAGCTTAAGCCTCTAGGGAATGGAATATATGCGATACAATCCTCCATATTTTGATCCTTGCGTAAAATAGGAAGGTGGAGTCCATTATTTTTCATTTTAGAGGGCCAAATACAGGCATAAGCTTTCTGAGTGAAGGTGATGCCCGAGGCTTTATAATGTTGGGTAAAGAAGTTGTCTGGGTTGTGGAAATCCTAGTTAGTATCCCCATCTCAGATAGAGAAAATTCAAATTTGCAACCCTTGTTCATAGCTGAATTAATTTGTTTCAACATCTTGAGAAGGGGTGAATTGGGACGTTATGCACTCCACTGACACCCCTCTAATCCTAAAAGGCCCTGAGCTCGGGAGGGGGGGGGGGTACTTCCAGAAAAATTGGGTGGGGGTGTGTGGCAGACTTCCTAAAACACTGTACTTACCCTATTTCAGACCAAAATCTGTGATTTTCCCTACCCTATTTCAGACATGACCATTAAATCAATCAGCTTGTGGCAAGCTGTTATGGCACGTACATGGTTGGCGTGAACATTAAAAGGGAAATGGTCTTATCGCCTAATGATGAAGAAGTAGCTGAAGTCTTCAAAAAAATGTGCCCAATTCAAGACTAGAGTGCACAAACCATACCCTATTTCAGACCCAAATGACTAAAAAACCATACCCTTTAGTGCCGCACATACCTATATAGCCTATATAAGGGAGTACCGCCCCAGGGCCCGGAGGAGGCACTTTAAGAATGTTTGGGCAGGGGAATCATGATTGCGTCTATACAAGACCTAAAGCAGTTCAGCTGAATTTTGCTTCCCTAAACTAGACTAAACTCCCAAAATCTCTCCCTATCCTTGAGTCGCCATTAATATTTGAGAAATTACTGAGGTTGATGCTGAACTGTCTTGCAGGTAAAGTAAATTTTGTCAACTCCCAGTTTCCCTTGTACATTGCAGCCAATCTTCAAAGTAGGCTTAAACCAGAAAACTGTTAAAGCAGTGTAAACATCATGCAAATTGCTGTTTTTTTTTTAATCAGCATCCCAAGGTACTGATCATTGGAAGTGGAGTGATTGGCCTTACTACTGCATATCTGCTACTTGAAAAAGGGTTGGTTTGGTCACTTAACTTGTTCATTGTTAATGGAAACTAATTATGGGGATTAATTAGCAATCAGTTGGCTTTCTTTATGTTTTGCATCTTTTTTTTGCCACAAATTTTCAATGCAAACAAGGGCAGGTTTAGTGGTGGGGGAGAGAGGATCACTCCCCCACTTTTCTGTGATATTTTATTTGTATTATTTTTAGCTCAGTAGACGTTCTGTGGATAAATATGAAAATGATTGATTGACTGATTGATTGATTGATTGATTTTTAAGGAATTCTCAGTAAAATAAATGGTACCTAGTATATACATCATCACAGAAATAGGGAACAGCAAAGAAATTAATCAACTGTTATGATGCACAATTTTTTAATTCATAGAGACTGTATCTGTGTTGCTTTCAAACCTATTGCTTGTTTTGATGTTGCCCTCCTCAGTTTGCTTATTGTACATCAGATGGAAGAAAAGAACATTAAACAATATATTTTGAGTAAATAATTAAATGGTTGGTTGTGGGAGTGGTGGGGATAACAGGGGTGGATGGAGGATTTTGTGATAGAAGGGGAATAGAGATATAATATACAGTGGCTATATGGGTGCAATTAAGTGCCCATCTGGACTGCGAACGTTGCACGGTTCTAGGGAGTTTTGGGCGCATGCTCCTGCACGAAAATTTTTGAGATTGAAGTTCTCTGAGATGCAATTTTAAAAGTGCAACCTGGGCACTTAAATTTAGCAAATGCGTGGATTCCATATTGAACATGTGATGCTGAAATATTTGATAAACCCCAAAAAGTGGGGCCTTGGCCTCCTGGGCCCATTCCTAAATCCGCCCTTGGATAACAGCTCTTTTATTTGACCAACAGCTTTGGTGTGATCATTGTAGCTAAAGAATTTCCATCTATCCGTCGCTTGCCCAAGATTGCCTCTGAGGCAGCTGGAGCACTATGGGTTCCTCCACCGATGATGAACTTACATAGAGTTGCATTAGAACGTCCAGATTTACTAGAAACATATAAGGTCTCCATTTTCATTTATTTCGACTAATATGTAGCCTCAGAATAAAATAGCTGACATTTTGCTATGCCACCTCTGGTTTACCCATGAAATGACTACTACCAAGATTCGGGTACTGCTTCTGATTGGTCAAATCAAATTTTCAGCCGTTCAGAAGCACTACCCAGATCTGTGTAGTGTCGCATGAGTATCGTGCAAGAGTATAGCTCATTTCTCAGACTTCATTTCATAGGTAAACCAAAGGTGGCATTACAAAATGTTGGCTGTTTTCTCAGGCTAATTAATATGAGGTTCCAGGAAATATCTTAATGTTCACCCCATGGAGGGTCAAGTGGAAATTCTGAGCAGTAGCTGGTGGGGTCCAGTCCTTTAATGCCAAAAATTTAAAAGGAATGTATGACACTGAACTAGAGTAGAACTTTTATAGGGGTTGGGAGATTTAAAGCCAAAAAACCCTCACTGATCAGAAATAATTATAATACAACAACACAATATTATATTATTTTAAAATACTGGTCAACCAGAATGGTTATTTCTAATTTAATAAAATTAATTAGATTGAATTAAATTAAATTAATGAAATTTATTTCTTAATTAAACAAAAAATACGTCCAATTGTAAGCCCTCCAGAATATGAGCCCTCTAGCTCCAATCATTAGATCTCGGGGTATAAGCACCCCTCTGAATTCAATCTATTTTGAACTTTTGAAGGTAAATTAAAATTAAAAACCGCTAAATGCAGAAGGAATATTCATTTATCAGAAAGCAGTTATATATACCTTAATTGTCTCAAAGTGCCTCCGGTTATAAGCTCTCTTGGATTTAAGCCCCTCAGTTTATAAGCTGTCCTAAAACCCATTAGAAAGATGTACTGTAAGTCCTCTGTTAAGCCTCCCCTCTCTAATAAGCCCCTCACTGTGGTACCTGAGATTTCACTTTAATATAAAAATAATGATTCACATCTCTTGACTACTAAAAAAGGTTTAAAATCAAGTAGCAGACACCATGCAAATCACAGTATATTGAGTGAGTTTGTGGAAGGGGGGAGGGGGTGATTGAAGATATCAAGTTGACTTTAATTTATTTTATACATTCAATCTTCAGAGATGGTCAGCTTATGGTGAAGAAAGGTATACACCACTTACTGCAGATGCTAAAATCACCGGTGTTTACTTGAGGGAAGTTGTGGCTGTTCTTCCAGAAGAGGTAGTCGACTATGTCGTGGTTATTTATTTATTATTTATTTATTTTTAAATAGTTAATATTATTTATTTATCTACTCTAATAAAATTATTTTTTCAAGCATTAATGCCCTATTGTTCCCTTAGTTTTTTTCTTGAAAACATACTAAAATTCTTATCTGAATCACTATTTTTTTTGTACTGAGTACTGTATTAAACTAACAGAATTAATGCCAGGGGGAATACACTCTGGATATCAAGGTTAGTGACAGTGGTGATTGAATGGGGACAAAAATATAAAACCCCCCAAAAATCCTTGGGCTTCCAACAAAGTCCAAAAAATTCCTAGACACAGAAAAATTTACAACCCTAAAAACATGCCATCTTGAATTTCCGAGCCCTAAAAATTTTCAGAAAGCATTAAATAAAACACTGGCAATAAAACAGTGTTATGTCATTAAATGCTTCAGATTGTTTATACCCCAAAAAATCCCTACTTCATTCAATCTGCCCAAAAACTTTCTACCCAAAAAATCCAGGAATTGAAAATTTCAAACCCAATAAAATCGTTCAATCATCCCCGTCACTTGAAATGTGGAGTACACCCCCCCCCCCCCCCCCCCCACCCTTACTACGCCCCCTTTCTATATTTATGTCTTTTTTTGCGCTTTGGGTTTGTTTACTTTTTTTCATGGACATTCTTTTTTTTTCTCTTAACTGAATGTATCTTTTTTTTTTGGTTGTTTTTACAGCTGCTGGTGTCTTACCCCCCCCCCCCCCCCCACTGGGAATTAACGTCACTCTCTTAACTTTGGTTGTATTGTCTTGGGGCTGCAGTGCTTATTAATATTTCAGGGCAACACTTTTTTTTTCCCCAAAAAATGTGGTGCTTATTTGAGGGTGCTGCTTATTCAGCAGTGGCACTTGCTACCTTTTCAATCAGGAATTAACGAATAATAATTAGTCTATTTATATTATTAATTAGTCACAGTTGACATATTATTTTGTTTTGTTTTTGTTAGGTAGACCAAGCTACTTTAAAACAGTACAAACAGCTAAGAGGATTTAGGCAGTCCCCTTTGCTTCTAAAGGAAAAAGGTTATTATTCTTTTATTTAAGTATTGACACTGAGTGTAATATTTATTAGTTTTAACTTGCAGAGAGTAATTTTCATTTGAATGGTGTCTTGAAAATAGTCTTTAATGACTATATTGCTGATTAACTATTAAAGTGTCACCAGTTTTCTAGCACAGTCCTACCAAACTTTTTGGTCAAAATTATGTTCTTCTTGTGAAACAAAGTTCACCAGAATTTGATAAGGTGTAAGAATCACTTAGTACAGTCTTTTCCACCCCTCGTTTATTTTGTGTTTTTCCAAACTCTCTAACCACAGAGTGGTCAAGTGTTAGTCATTTTAATATCAGTTTTAGGGGTTAATTGTTATTAAAAAAAATGTGGTGTGCTTTGTCAGGCAGTGTTTCAAAATTAAATGGTTGATACAATAATAATAATATTAATAATAATTAATTAATAATTATTAATGCCAAAATTTTTTGCCACTTATTAATTAAAGTATGGTGATCCAATTCTTGACCAGGCTTGAGTGACTCAGTCATTGGAAGGAAAGAAGATGTCTTTTCATTTGTTGGTCCAGTTATTGATTCACCAAAATTTGGAACATGGCTAATGCAGCAAGTATGTAGTGTTGACTATTGACCAAATCATATTATGTCTTGTGTGTTTTTTGTCCTGTTCCTAAGTCAAAATGATATTCAAGTTAGGGTAAATTAGTTATTTCAGCCCAGTTTGATTATCAAATGATATCTCTTAGGCCCAATTATTTTTGATCATGAGGAGAAATTCTTTGACTTTAATTTCTCCAGGCAGAACTATTTCTGAATTTCTCAATCAGTAGTCATAATAAATGCTGCATAGGAAAATATGGTCTTTATGATAATTTTCTCCAAAAAAAAGAAAACAAACCATATCTGTAACATTGTTCTGAAAGCAGTAAATGCGTCAGTATTTATTGTTTCCACTAACAGTGTAGTCTGCATAGTATGGTGATTCCCAATCTCCTCACAGTTTCACTGCCCTCTACTCACCCACCTTGGCTTGTTTGTGCGCCCGACCAAAACCGCCATTCTGTGCAGGCTGCTAACAGTGACTCATAAGTGCTGCCGTGGAGTGCAGAGGATTTTTTATGTGTGCCCTTGATTTCAGTTAAGTTTTGTAGTTATATTTTACCATGCAAATTGCTCTTGTCTAATGAAGAATCAAATATGAACTTGACAGATCAAGGCATCATGTGATTATGTTACAAATCTGGCAAAGGTTTAATTACCCATGCTCTGGAATGACACTGATAGCAATGACTGCCGATGAATAACCAGCAGCAACCAACAGACAATAAAGCGACTTCTTTAATAAATTGTTTTCTTTTCCGTCTAGACACTTCATGCCTTGTTTTAAAGGCTTTGTTTTCTGAATGCGTCAGACCCCTTGGGGGACTGCTTCTTACCCAGGCTTGTAACCAATGAGCATTGGACAATATACTTTACAGACCTCCAAACTCTAACGAATCTGCCGTGAGTCTCACGGTTTTTTAACTTTTCTCACGGTCTCACGACAAGACCCCCAATCTCACGAATTTTCAGGAAATATCATTCGGAAATGAAAATTGTTACCTTGCTGAATAAAAACGGAAATTTCGCGGGGAATGCTAGTACCTGTTTAAGCCTTGATGGAGCTTTGTAACATTTTAGCCATGACCCAACTGAATGAAGTTGGCTTATCGAAAAGAAAAAATGCGGCATCTAATTTGTTACAGGAGGGACCCAAGTAAAGCAGGGTAATATTTAAATAAACAGTTATAATTAATTTCCGCAATGGAAAAACGCTTCGTTTAATCTTGATCGAAATAAAATACTTTTTGTAGAATCTCCCGATTTTTTTGCACGAGTCTCCAGATTTTACTCTATCAGGGTTTGCAGGTCTGTATTTTACCAGATTTGTAGCACAATCACATGACGTGATCAGGATGATACTTCAAGCGGACAAATTCAAATTCGATTCTTCTGTAAACGAAGGTGATGCAGGCTGTGAATTGTAAAATTCAACTGGAATCACACATAACTCCCAAACATCCTGTGTGCTTAAAAAGTTAGTGTACGCTTGTGACAAAAAATACCCTTATGTATGATTTGGAAAATGTGTTGTTATCTCGCGGCAGTGCATAAGAAAAGGAGCTCACCTCATCCTAGGAGCAATCAGAGGACTGTTAATAGAACAGGCAGAGATTCTAAAGATGGCATATGGGGTTCAGTTTATTGTCAATTGCTCAGGACTGGGTTCTGTTGAATTGGCAGGAGATAATGAGATGTTTCCTGTTAGAGGTACGCACTAACGGTATCACCCCCGACTGTATTTAATATGGTTTTAACCTCTAGAGAGTTCGCGCTCTCGGTTTTAAACGTCATTGTTCCTGCTCCATCTCATTCAAATTGTTATTAATATGTTAGCGATTTCCAGATCATAATCAATTCGCGTTTTCTAAACATTTTTGGCGATTGTTCCAACTTGCCTGAACTGCCGAATTCACGGGTGAACTTCCTGGAGTGGGGACCTCACTCAAATTTGAAAATAATGACAGAGAAAAATTTGTCCTGGTGTGTGTTCGTCCTCCATAAAACGTATCACGTGGTAGGCATGCAGTGACGGCTAAGAAAAAGCTTCCGATGCCGTCGTCGTTGTCGTTTGCAAAACTCCTTCCTAAGCAAGCTCCCAGACCCTCTTTTTAAAATAGCACAGGTACGTTTGGAAAAAATGCGGCAAGAGAAATTGAGGATTTTCTTCATGTACAGGTCCGTTACCGGACAGGTTTCAGTGTGGTGCAAGTTCCAATGCTTTTTGTGGTCAATATTTTTACCCATCAACTTTTAGATCCAGTGACAAATACTAGACGATCGGATTGTTCTAAATGCGTATGAGATTTGAGTTTTGCTTTTCCCTTTTCCAGGTGCACTTTTGAAAGCAAAAAATGATGGTACCCTTTTCCCTAAGATTGACTTTTGTGCCGAGGGAAGGTGGACTAGTTTTGGAGAGGATGAGGCTGGTCAGCAAGTTCTTGGCCATCCATACATTTTCACGAGAGGTATCTAACCGTTAAGAGAATCTGCATTAATGCATAATAAAATTGTTATACTGTTCCTGTAGGTGCACTCTTAAGAGCCAGAAAAATGATGGCACTTATTTCCCAAAGGTTGACTGTTGTGTTGACTAGCTTTGGACAAGATAAGGCTGGCCAAGAAATATTTGATCATGTGTATCTTTTTCCTAAGGTACGCTCGAACTCAGAAATGCAAATAAAATTTCTCTCTTGAAAGGACATATTTCCGGCATCTGTTAACGCTGCCTAATCACTCTTAGTCATGATGACAAGTGAAAAAGAGACCCACACGATTTATACTTGTCTAACTGTATCCAACTACAATAAAAAAAACCAACAGAAAATGTTCCTAAAAAGTGGTATAGGTCCTTATGTGACGTTGGCAATTCTGAACGGTCATCATTTCCAAGACTGAGCGCACACCTGAGACTGTCGGTGCCCTAATGGTCAGATCACTCTATGCCGTTTGCAAGAAACGTGATGTTTATTATCTGTGTTAGACAATCATAGAACGACTACAGAATTAAATCGTCTCGTTTAAAGTAGCTAATTAGCTAAGAACATTGGCTACGTTAAATAAAGGTTATTGTGTTGTATTGTATTGTTATCGCTTGTCTCTCGATAGTCACTGCTTTGTTGTTGTTTTGCAATCAATAACAAAGTGACTAGATGGTTTGACATGCAGGTCTTTACGGCCGAACAAGCACACGCGCTCCCTATGGAAATATCAGTCAGGTGAAATATCACCTGACTTTAGTGTCATTTAGGGCTTTTATTTTTTTTTAATAATAAATTACTCTTATTACTGATTATTATTATTAGTATTAATATCATCATCATCATCAACATTATGATTACGATTAGTATTGTTATCAGTGAGTTTACGCAAGAGGACGGCAGGAAGAAGAGCAAGACAAAACGCTCGTGTGTGACAAACGTGACAGGGCTATTACTCAGTGATTACTTGCGTGGTTTTTCGTGATCTTCACTTAACATTTTTCTGAAGATCAGTTTAATTGAAAGTGAAGTTTGGCAAAGAGTTATTTCGAACAAAGTTATCGTCACGCTTTTCACACAAGGTGTCCCTTCTTCTTTCCTCTCCCGTCCTCTTGCGTAAGTTCATCATTATCGTCAGAAACGACCATCACTGAAGACGTTTTTTTTCGCCGTTTGAATAAATACGTTACTATTGTATATTTGACCTGACTATCAACAGGTCAAGACCATATTATGCTTGGATCTTTGACACAGCCAAACAGTTCTGACCACAATGTGCCTTTTTCGGCTCCATACGTTCAATCCATGCTGACGAAGTGTAAGGACCTCTGTCCTCGCCTCCATGCACTAAAGGATAGTGACTTACAAGTTACTGTAGGAATACGTCCAGGAAGAGAGCAAATCAGAGTTGAACAGGACCCTGAGGATTCAAGTGTTTTCCACAACTATGGCCATTACCGATGGGGAATGACGTTAAATTGGGGCAGTGCAGCTGACATCGTTAATCTTATTGACAAGGAATTAAAGACAAATTTTAGGCAAAGCCAACTGACAACAAACAAACGCTTACATTTGGCCAAGCTTTAAAGCTTGTTGTTCTAATAGATTGTGTAGCATGATTTGTAAGCGTTTAGACTAAGAAATAACGCTATATAAATCGGTATAGCTTCTCCTTATAGTATTATTACATATTGATTAATAGCACGGATGAGAGGAAGACTTTTTTAACCTAAACCGTGCCCCTGTTTTCTAGCATTCTTTAGCAGGTGTCTAGTAATTACAGGCTTTGTCTGTTTTATATCGGGTTTGGCAAGAAAGTAAGAAAACCAGCTTATATTTGGAGGGGCGATTTAACGGAGGGTTTTTTGCGTTACGAGTTCGGGGGGCTTATATTTGGAGGGGCTTATTTTCTGAATTTTACAGTATACACGTTTCGGCAATTCGAGAGTTTGGTTGCTTTTTGTTTCCTTCTTTTTGTTAAAAATAAATTGGAGCGGAGGTAAGGATACTTTTGCTAATTCTTTACTACGCATAACATCTAGATGTTTCATCGTCAGTTATACATTCTAAATATAGTCAGTGCTCCCTAGTTTTCGTACTGAAAAGGCATTATATTTTTTGATATTTTGCCACAGGTGTGTCAAGAATTTGCGGTTGCAACTCTTTCCTCCGTAGAGGCCCGCCGCGCGCTCGCTATTTTAATATATAGATTTAGCCACGGCTAAAAGCGAAGCTCTCTTCAATAATACTTGTAAACAAAAAAAATTAAATCTAGTAAAATGCTAAACGGGGAGGGCAATGAAAATGGCATCAAGATCAATAGATCTAATTAGTAAAAAAAACAAATTGCACGTGCGGCACACTTTTTTTCTAATTAGCAAAAAAACAAATTTGCATGTGCAGAACGCTTTTTTGTCTTTCAGTTGCCGTTGTTTTGCACAACTACAGCGCTGTTTTGTAGGACTAAAACGTCAAACTTCCTAGTTACACATTATTTTTATGGAGGAATTGTCGTATGTGCTTACTCAACATTTTGTCTCCTGTGTTCATGTTCGCTTTTATTTTTCACTGCCGCTTATTTACACTTTGCTGGCCGCCAGCATTTCTCATTGCCACACATCCGCTTTGAATTTTCATGTTTTTCTTCCTACAAAATTCGTCTCTTTTGTTTTTAATCACTCGCTCTAGCTCTTTCTTTGGAATAACGGCGAAAAAACACGACTTTGTTGTTGTCTTTTTCTTCCTAAAAGTCGGGGCGGCCATGCAAATTCTTTCCAAATAAAACCTTGAGTTGCATTTGGGTTGCCATACCTGTTGATTGAATTATTTTACATTGGTATGCCTGTGGTGCGGACGGACGGTCGGGCGGGTGGTTGGGCGGTCGGTGTACGGTCACGTGATTACCAAATTTTCTCGGATGGGTAGTTTACCACATTTCTTTACCCATGGTGCTCCGCTGCGCGCTTCGCGCGCGAGAGCTCCGCTATTATTGGAATACCTGGCGTAGAGCCTCTGCAGAAGATAGAGTGGTTGCAAAGGCAAACAAACTTAATCATAAAAAACTGTTTAACCAATTTTTGCTGCCATTTGTTTTTGTTTACTGATAAAACTTCACTTTCTCTGACAAACAAGCTGGCCAATCAGCGCGCTCGAAAAGCACTATTCACTCTTGTGATATATCCTAATTAGGCTAAATAGAGCTATTGAATAGCGTAGCGCGCGAATGATGTCAGAGTCACTACTTTGCAATTTTTGTCTGAGTTTTGTCATTTTTCTCATTTTTATGACAAAAGACAGACAAACATTACATTTTAATGACAAAAGTTACACAAAAGTGAGGAATTCGCTTATGTTAATTTCAGTTTGTTTGTCTGAGTTTCTGGTCTATAAATAGTAACTGCGCGCAATGCTATTGATATATAATTGTGAGTAAAAATATTTTCATTTTAATTCTTTTTAAATACATTAATGAAAACAGAATGCTTAATTTCATGAGGAATCGCAAAACTAAATATTTATGACTTTGTTTCTTGTAGAGTTAATCCTGATGAAAATTTTTCGAATTCCTTGGCTTAAAATGCTGCAATTTCTTTTAGAAAGTTTATGCCTCAAAGAGGTGTATTTCTTGTCACTGAGTAAATCTGGTATAAAATGAATTTGTTTTGCCAATTGACACTTACTGAATGGTCCTTTTCGAAAAGCACCGGATTTGTATCTGTTGAAGTTTTATCAGAAATATATATTCCAGCGAGCAACAAAATTGGGACTTGTCAAATAAACGGTCCGTCACGGTAAACGAGTCAAAAAGTCCACTTTTATTCTAATCAAGTGAACTTGTTTTGGCGGGCAAAGCAAGCAAAGCGAAGGGGAGGTAATTTTAAAATACGTGAGTAATGCCAGCCTAGATCACGTATGAAGGACGTACAAGTAATGTCGTTTGTCAGTAAAACGCGGGTTGGGGTCTGTCTTTTTAAAAAGAATGTAGTTTTAGGGTTATTTAACCATAAAACTAACCCTACAACAGCATTCTTAAAAAAAAAGAAAAGAAAAAAAGAAACCCCGGCCGCGAGCCCGGCCCCGATCCTGCGTTTTACTGACGACCCCTTCTGTGGTTCAAATATGGGAAGGAAATGACATTGGACTCGCTTGGATTTGTTAAGCTTTTTGCCATCTCAAAAGAAGAGGTATTAGCCTAGTTGACGAAACAATTCAATTTCCCAACTTCCTCTTTTGAACTATACATTAGCAGCATTTTCACTTGTCCTTTTAAAAAAACGTCAGTAAAGTTGGCTGCAGGGCAAAGGGCTCCGTGACCTTTCTCGATTTGGCTCCGGAACTGAAGACATTATCTTCTTCCTTCAAATCCATATTTTCAGCGGCTCTAACGGATAACAGTATTACCTTTTAAAATGAACTGCCAACTGAACGCAAACGTTAATTTTTTGTTCAATTTTTATTTATTTCGTTATTTATCTCCACGACTCCCTTTGATCGCTCACAGCTCACAATGTCTTTGAAACTGGTCTGTAAGTTTAGGTACGTGCGATCCGTATCCGACGCTCACAGAAAAAAGATACTAGACTAGAATAAGAAAAAAGCAGTCAATTACAATAGGACGATTTATGCTTCTTGCTTTTAACCGTGGATATTCTACAATTCCCAGTGTCAGCAGTTATATATTGCGAGATATCCATGCTCAAATGAACTTTTTTAAACGGGGACACGTGCTATGCATTTCCTGTACAATTACGTACATTAGTACCGCATTCCTCAGCTGAAACACGTAGCTACTTTGTATTTATTTTTTGACAATGTGTATATAAGAGTAGCACGTATATGAATGAGCAAGCATTTTTGAAGTAAACGAACAGAGTGAGGCATCACGCTCTGTTTAGGTGTCTTTAAAAAATTGTTTTGTCCGCGTGGAACAGAGTGCGGCTGCATAAAAATTTTAAGGCATGGCCTTGAACATTTCTAGAGTCCCTACCTACTCAAAAACCCTGACAGTGAGTATTTTCTTGACATAGTGTTATATTCAGTGATTTTTATAACCCTTATTATAAGTTTAGACGATTCTTTTTATCCCGTCTTTTAGTTAGAAACATGTAATATATATTGGTACTAGCTTTCTAGTGAATGGCAGGAACCCATCGTGAATAGTTATTTGATATCAAAGACTATTAATCTTTTCCAGAAATATTGCGCCACACCTACGCGGAGTTTCAAAAATCATTGAAGCCCACTAAATAGCGACCAATAGTTCTTTTAAGAATTACTTCTATTTCGCCTTGAAGAGAACAAGATTAACGAGTTTCTTTTGAAACTAACTGCAGTTTTTTGGATCGGTATCACAAGAAACGCTGACAAGTTCTAATTTCAAAAGGGGGTCAAAACATTGTTTAGTACCACAAGTATAAGTAAGTTTAGTGTAAGATTTAGTCCTTTCTACTCAGCATCAACGACATAAGAATAACAAATGCATTCATGGAGCTTATCTGGCTTGAATTCCTCCAACTCAACCGAGTCTTACAATGATTGCCTTCTGTGTAACTTTCAGATCTGATCCGTGGTTAATCAACCCCATGAAGTAAACCGCGTCAAGTTTTAATTCAGAAATTAAAATCACAAGGATTCAATTAAAGGGGAGGAGGGAATTTTCTGACGGCTAATGCTTGTTCATTACAATTTTGCTCCATCTATACAAAAATTGATAGCAGTACTTGTTTTATACAGCGTCGCAGATCTCCTCGCGTCCTAGTTGTCGGTGCCGGAGTAATTGGACTGACATGCGCACTGCAACTCCTGGAACGAGGGTAAGTTATGGTTATTTGATTAATTTCCTGTCAAAGATGATAAATAATTTTAATCGTTGAGAAATTAAGGCCTAAAAGTGCCTTACGGTGGCAACGTGCCAAAACAAAATGTTTCCTTGTTCCAAAAAAAGACGGTGATTCATATCCATGATTAACCGGAAACTTTAAGTTAAATGTTTTTCCTGGCTAAAATTCTGCGAAATCACTTCAGTCACTGTGACGCAAGAGATTATTGCGGAAGAGAAAGTGGAAATCATGACGCGTTCGTAATATAACAACTTCATGATCGGAATTTGCCTACTTGTCCGGCGACAAGGAGGAAACAATATTTGTCTTATCGACCAGCGTTTTAAAAACCGTTCAGGAAGAGAATAATGAACAGAGACACATGACTCAAGACTGACAAACAGTGTTTGAGAGGAGTTCCAAAAATATTAAACTGTTGGTAGTGCTTTGGAAGAGGATGGCAGCAAGATCGAGTTACATGAGAAGTGAAATTGCAATTTGCATGCAAATGTATACAGTAAAATTTCGATTACGCGAGCCAGCGGTTTTTTTAACTCCTGATTATTCAAACTAAAATTAACCTTCTTTTCAAAGTCAAATTTCTAGCAGCTCGCCCAAAATTTCTTTATCCCTCAACGCAAAATATAAAATAGGACACGAGTTGTCGATCCCAGCCAACATTTATTCACATTTCTTCGAAAGAGATGTTTGTAATTGCCTCGAAAGTGAAGGATATGCATGTAACAAGCATGGTTTAAAGCATGTTAAATAGTTCTAACAGGAGCCCTTTATTGTCTTTATGAATGAAACAGCTGGTCCTTGGTCGCTGGCCTTACTCTGCCTGAATCATTCGGGCAGCGTGAAAGATACGCCTTTGTGCATGCGTAAAGATCTGCTACTTGCCGGTAGTGTAATGATAGTGACTAGAATGGGTACCTAAAAGTCAGGTTGAACACCTCGTGATCATTGCATAACGCTATTTTCCATTTATTCGAATCAAGAGAGAATAACCTCTCTTGTTCGAATTTATTGGGCGCATTTTAAAAGACATAACCAGTTGCTCCAGGAAAAGAGTTGAGTGAAGGGTTTTGCACCGAAGTATACAGAGATTACCGTTAAGTACTCTTTAACAAAGAATAGGTTTCAACAAGAGTTGGTTTCAAATAATGTAATAGGCAATGCCATGTAAAGTCATCAAATATTAAAGTTGTCGTCATGTAGCTCTTAATAGCGACCTTACGATCCGACAACGGCGACGTCCATTAACAGGTCGCTGAAAAAAAGACTCCGCATCCTTTCAAACCATTTGGCGATTATCTCAAGTCGACCAGTTACTAAAAAGAAGGGAATTTATGTTGGAGCTGAAGAGAGGGGCCGCGCCCGAGTTCAGATAGAGATGGTAGAATTTATCGCCTTGCCGTTCGCGTCCTCAAAAAAACTTAAACTTTGGTCATTTCACGTCGTAGTCGGGCAGGGACGACAAAGAAATGTACAAAACAGCGTGATGCACGAGCCTAGTTGTTGTTTTGCTAATGATATACCTATTGCTTTTTGACGCTGCCGTTGCAGTCACCGTCGTAGTTTCGTAAGGTCCCTAATGGTGTAATTGATACAGATGGGGATTATAAACGTCTCGTGATTCGGGTTCAATTCCTAAATCGGGCTCTGTTTTCTTCCATTTTCTTTTTTTAAATTTTAAACAAAGACAACAACCTGATTGGGGGTATCCATTCAATTCCCAACCGTAATTGTCTTTTTAAAAATGCTTGACTACTTTTTAGTGAGGAATGGTGTTGTTTACGTTTTTCTTGGTATTCTCCCCTCAGGTATAGAGTGACTGTTTTAGCAAAAGAGTTTGCCTCATCAGTCTCCGGTGAACTTATTACCTCTGAGATCGCTGGGGCATTGTGGGAGTGGCCACCCGCCGTCTGTGGGGGTCACACAGACGAGGAGTCGTTGGACCGGGTCAAAGTTTGGTGCACAGAGAGTTACACCAAGTTCGTAGAAATGGCCATGAAATCAGAAGAAACGGGGGTGTTTGTTCAACAGTCAGTTTTTTACTTTAAAAACAAAGTTGAAGATGGTCCCGAGCAGATGGAAAAGATGAATGAACTTCGTTACTTGCCAGGATTTGAACACAACTGCAGACTTATTAAGGAGACTTGTGAGTATATTCTAAAACTTCTGGAGCATATTATACTGATCTAAATCTGCTCTAGTAGCAGTGCGCAGTGAGCCAAGAGGATTAAATGGATTATCACGTGACAGCTCGTCCATATATATACCTTCCACCGCAGATATAAGTCAGTTAAGGACGTGATATTGCACACGTTTCTAGACAAGCGGCAGTGTTTAATTGAGATAACTCTGACCTTTTAATTTATACTTGTATCATGATATGCACCAAAGTCAATTGGCCATCTGCATGTAGCCTGTGAACAGGCTCTCTGTTTGGGGAAAAAATATAAAGGCCTGTTCACAGGCTAATCTGCATGTCATTATCAAATGGCTGTATAACGCGCGGATTCAGATCTATGTAGCCTGCGCGCAGACGAAATTAAACTCTGGTTAACTAATCAGAGTTTAGTTATCGTCTGTACGCAGGCTAGATCTATGTAGCTCGCGCCACTGTTTTGAGCCTATTGTTTCGTTGAAAGATAGCCACATGTTGATATAGCTCGTTTTATGCTTGTCTCGCCCGCCACAGTTGCTTTTATATAGAGCTGATATTGATCATAACTTTTCTTTAATGACATAAGCTGAATTAACGGAAGCTTCGTTTTATAATCAGTGATATCAAGTAATGTCACTGGCACATATTCTATAACAAATCGTGGGTTTATATCATATGGCAGGCAAACTGATTTTAATCGAATCGACAAAATGATTTACCGAACTGGGAGTGAACTCACGCAGTACACCGGAGTTTCTACCTGCTTTTATCATTCAGTTGAAACTGATTGGAGCCATGAATGGCTGCACCTAAGTGGCAAAACAATCAGCCAATCTTAAGATTTTGTTTTCTCTTTTCAGCTGTAAGCCTGGACACAGGAGTGGTTGATGCCTACCAACACATGGCGCCAATGGTTGATACAGTCACATTCTTGCAGTGGATTTATAACCAGTGCCAAGATAAGGGCTGTCGTTTTGTACAAGATGAGATTCATGGGCTGTTATCTGATCAGGCCGAATACTTGGAGGACAAATACAAAGCCCGACTCATTATTAACTGCTCTGGACTCAGTTCTATAGAACTAGCTGGCGATAATGAGGTCTACCCTTCAAGGGGTTAGAAAAGAAAATGTTACGTTAAAGTCATCTTATCGGAAAAGTTTTGTGTTCTCTCGGGGTAGGATTAAAAAATGTGTCATTTATGAGTATAGTAATGATACAAAAACACATTAAATTCACGCAACAAGAATGTGTCTTCATTATGTTCGTTGAAATCGTCAAACCTGGCAAAAAGTGAGTCACTGTTTGACAGTCTGACCACTTCAAGGGAATGCTGCTTATATGGGTTCACTCAATGATCACACTACTTAATCAGGTTGAAAACACTGTTTTAACCCCTCCCCTTCGTGTACCGGGATGATAAAAACTGAGATCAACGCAAGAACAACCTTAGTTAGTGTTACTGTATTAACAGTATTAGTTGCCCTGACTAGCGATCTTTCTCATTCTTAGGTGCGATCCTTAAAGTCCGCAACGATGGGAGTTTGATGCCAAAGTTAACGCATTCCATGAGCCTCTCTGTTGTTAACAAAATCCAGGATATTGCACAGGAAGACCAAGATTTGATCTACATCTTACCTAGAAACGACGATAAACTTTGGCTTGGTGGCCTTGTGCAACCCAATCAGTGGGATAAGGATCTTACTATGGATTCTCCATCAGTCAGAAGAATGTTTGACAATGTCAAAGAGTTCTACCCTCCGCTGGGTAACTATGGAGATGATGACGTTGAAGAAGTGCTGATAGGACTCCGACCTGCTCGTAAAGGTGGCAATATTCGTTTAGAATGGGATGCTGTCTCGCCTTCTGTTCTACACAACTATGGACACGGGGGTGCTGGGGTGACTCTCTCCTGGGGGTGTGCTAACGAAGTGTGCGCCATGGTGGACCACGCCTTAAAAAGGCATAAATTGATTTATATCTCAAAGCTGTAAATTACAGAGAGGATTTATTTAATTTAAAGAAAATATACGGACCAAAAAATAATGAATATTGCTATGTATATAAACGATATTTTGTCCTGCAGGTCGGGTGAAAATAATTTTAGCCTAAACAAAAAAGCTTTTATTACTATTTATTCTTCAAATACTTTCGACGATATTTTGGTACACTCTTTGTTCTTTTTACGGATTGAGCCTGGGCCGTTCTTGTTATCTGGGAAGTCTCAGCTTGGAAATTAAATGTTCTTACGGATGTTCTTCAATAACGGAAAACTGATAACTTTTACAGTTTTGACAAGATAAGACCCCGGGGAGAGGGGTCACACTATGGTGGCCTATATGGGAAGGCTCCGCACGAAAGGGGGGTATCTTTTTTAGGCTTCAAGTATATGAAAGGGTAAGGATTTCACTAGTTGAAGTATATAAAAGGGTAGGGAAATATGTCATTTGGGCCTGTGAAAGGGCCAAAAAGGGCTATTATAGCAGTTAAAAGGGATGCAAAGTTCTAAACAAGGTATGTGAAAGGGGTGCCTTTTATCAATAGAAGGTATATGAAAGGGTTACCTTTTTCGTGAACAATGATGGTATATAAAAGGGTAAGGGGTTTGACCTCGGGACGGAGCCTCCCGGTATGAACATTTAGGGCCTGTTTACATGGAGGTGGGGGACCCCAGGTAGGTGAGGTAATATTTGGCGAGTCACCACACCTATCATGCAAACGTGATCAAATTAAATTGAGAGATTATATGTACAGGCGGGTTACCCCACCTAAGCGGGTTACCTCACCTACCTGGGGTACCCCACCTCCATGTAAGGAGTACCCCAGTGTACCCTCCCGGGGATAAGACAGTACAATGATTATAGTTTTAACATTAATAAATTGTACAAGTGCAATGTAAATGTATTATTGACCATACGCAATAGGAATGTGTTGAAAGAGCAGAATTTTACATACACTCTGGTTCCATGCAGGACATCAGTGAATTCAGATTTTCTAGATTTAGGAAAGTAAAAGCAGTGAAAAATAAATTGTTCTTCTCTGAGCCTCGGGGAGTGTTCTTGGCATGTTCTAAATATTTTGGCAAATTCCAGGCTGAACGTTCTATATAATAAAGGTTCATATTGACCATGCAATAACTAATTACCATAAAGCCACACTTCCCTGGTCCTTAATTCTGCAAGGTTATGGAAAGAATTAAAAACTAGTTCTTTGCGTTTATTTAAGCGAGCAATGATGAAAAAAAAAATACTTATCCACTTAGTACGTTACATTTTTATTTACATTTTATTTACATTTTAAGCCAGCATAACACAATATTTGATAAATACTTAAACATGTTATACATATTCTGGTGACATTTTTTCATTTTTTTAAATTTTTGTTCTAACTTCTTCTATTTTAAATTCATTTCCTTGATTGACTAGATTTACACTTATTTATTTCCTTATCTACCATCTTATATTATCTCTCAGTTTTGTTCTTTTGTTTTCCTCCTTATTGTAATTCGTGTTTTACAACCCCGAAAGGAATTAATAGACTGAATAAGTTGAAAGGGGGAATGAGAAGGCGGATCGGAAAAATGAATTTAAATGGGAACAAACTAAATTGAACCCTTCCTCTATTAATAACTTCATCTCCAATTCTCTGCTTTGTATTCATTTTTCATTTTCCCGTTTCCCGTGCTTGTTCTTGAACTACTTGCAAAATAAGACATCACGTCTTTACCACATTCGACGCACGCCGAGTATAAGAAATATAAAATGTAAAAATAAAAATGTTCTACAGAAGTACCTGACGAGGCTCGAAGAGCGAAATATATTTCGAGGATTTTGAAAAGTCTAAAACATTTTTATTTTTACATTTTACATTTCTTATACGTGCGTCGAATGTGGTAAAGACGTGATGTCTATTAAATTTTGCAACTCCGCCGTAGTTCAAGTTATTCGAACACATTCCTAGTCTCGGCACTACAATTTCTCAAAAACGTGCTTGTTCTCCACTTTTTGACTTGTCAAATAAATAGCTGGTTGTCTTCAGCTTAGTTTTAATCCTTTTTAATGGCGTGACCACCGTTAAATCTTGCTGTTTAAACGGCTAAGACGTTTGTTTGTCTCTGTGTTTTCATGTGGAAAGATGGCTACGTTTGGTCATATGGATGGACAGCTGCAAGAATGGGGATCGGAAACGAATTTGCAAACCCAAAGTTTTCTTAATTGTCTATGAGATTCTGGTATTTTGCTGAATTGGTAAATTGTCTCTTTGCTCTTGACTTGCAGTCCAATCGTCACTTCCCTCTCTTTTCGGTTCGTCATTCGATGCACTTATTAAGAATTCACGATTGATTATCATCCTTTTTTTTTCTTATGCTATGACTGGCATGCTGAAAATCTTGAAAATCTTACGAGTTAACATTCTTTCTCAAGAACTGCAAGAGACGTGACTTCTCACACATTTTATAAACGGATTACATTGTAATTTCAGTAACTTGAGTAATTGGATAATTTTCAGTATCTTTATCTTTTAATCATTTTATTGCCTTTTCACTGTCATGTAATCGGATGAACAAAACATTTTTATCTTATTTCAGTTGTACAAGGAAACAAAACAGAGTGGAACAATCACGATAAAAGAAATAAATTATAAAACAGGACTTATTTGGGTGTTAGTCAAATTTTATATAGTGGTCGATACGATCACAACAAATTAAATCATTATTTGATGTTATTATTATAATGATTTTGGCTATTATTATTATTATTATTATTATTATTATCAGTGACTGTGGCTTTCGTAGAATACACCGTTTTAGCCTACGAATACGGCATGTTTGCCTCGTAGTTTTATATCTGAAGGCAACCATTAATTCCAGATGTGATAATGGCGTCACCGTTCCGTCCCGGTAGCCTACACTTTTCTCCTTTGGTAAGGGGTAATCTACCCGGATTTACGGCTACGTGTACGGCTAATATATCCATATCCGTACCCGGAAACGGTGTATCTTAAGGTCTCTATTGTTGTTTTTAACAATTCTTGCCCATTTTTGAATACGAACCCGAACGAATTTTGCAGCCATTTGAGTGAAAAAATTAAAAAGCCTGCCAGGCCAAAAGGCAGGTTTTTTGCACTCGATAAGCTCGAAAATCGTGACTAGCGAAGGAAAAGAAACTGGAGAAAAGGAAAGAGCGAGGAGGCGAGAAAGAAGGAGAAGAGAGAAAAGAAAAGAAAAAAAACAAAAAACAATGGTTGCTCTCTTTGTAAGCTTGAAAGTGCTTAGAGCAGATCCTATGAAGGTACATGTCGGGAGTAACAAGTCCGGCGATTGGTACTATATGGTACAAAATTCACTGGGTACTGCAGCTTGGGGGATTTCATGTGCATTGATCACACCAGGATCCCATAATCCAGGGTGAGCAATGTCAGAATAATTACGGACCAGTGTATTCTTAGATACTTTTTAGTTTAGAGCAGTTACCGTAAAATTCCGAAAATAAGCCCCTCCATGTATAAGCCCCTCCAAATATGAGCCTCCCGAAATCGTAACGCAAAAACCCTCCGTTAAATCGCCCCTCCGAATATAAGCCCCCCAGGGGGCTTGTACTTGGAATTTGCCCTCGAATACAAATTAAAAGTAAAACGAAGCAAAAATGGTAAATTACCTTCCCACTACAATCGATTTTGAAACGCAAATTTCCCTCCGTACATAAGCCCCTCCGAATGTAGGCCCCTCCAAAAATAAGCCCCTTAAAAAGGGCCTTTGAAAAATATAAGCCCCGGGGCTTATTTTCGGAATTTTACGGTATCTCGAGAAAATGGAATCTGCGCTTCGCCCATGAGCGGATTGCGGTATTATATATGAATAAAGAAAACTATACTTTATTGAAAGGTCAAAACCGTTTTCAAGTCTGTAGTTTTTGCTGACAGGTTTGTAAGACGTTCTGAGAATAAACTGACCAGTAAAAACTCCGTAAAAAAAACAAGAGGACTCGAGTTGCTCGCTCCGAGTTAAGGGCTCCTGAGTTTAAAAATAATGCGATTGATCCCAGTGGACAAAGATGTCGGTGTATTGGTACCGATTGTTGCATTGGTGAATGAGGCGTCTCTGACTGAGTACTAAGATACGTCCAGAGGCACCCAATGTCAACTTTTGGAAAATATCTGTTCGGGAAACGCAATTTGAGATCTAGAATTTTCGGAACATTTGTTGTAAAATTTATTGCTTGCCCGTCTCTTCTAGGATTTTCGAACATCCAAAAAATGGTATAATTGCCCATATTTGACGATTTTTACCCTTTGAAAGCTAAAGTCACCTAGAATTTTCGGGAGCCTTTTATCGGCTAAAATTTTCGAAAAGGTTCGTTTTGATCCCTATAGTTTTCGGATCACAAGACTTTCAGCTAGGAAATCCGAACAGATGAAAAATTTTTAGAGCCGGTAAAAATATGCGTATATCTACCGTTTAAATACTAAAATACGTTAAACAATGCTTTGTTTGAGTGGTTTTGAAAACTATAATCTCGTTGGGTGCCCCTGTACGTCTTGTACCAATTTATAACAGGAATATCAGTCGATTGGTACCAATAATTGGTGACTGATACATCTCATTTGCACTAATAATTTATTTCTCTGTCCTGTTTTTCATTTAATAGCTCGTTATTTCTCGCTCAATTGCTCATGTCAGTCAACAACTCACTTAATATTTTCTTGCTAGGATCCGTTAGTTGTTTCTGAATCGGATCGATCGACTGACTTGTTCGAACGTAAGAAAAAGCGAAAAGTAGATGCTAATAAGCTAATAAACAGGTATTGATGGTTTCGAATATTATAACCAAATGGAATTCAGTGATATTTTGTACTTTGATCTGATAAAGAGAGATCCGATTTTAAAACACCCCGATGATCCACATATTAAAAATGGACATTGAAACTTGACATAAAAAAAAGTCAATAGGGTTTGATTTCGATGACGGAAATCACGCGATAACCCGCCATCAGG